CAGAGCAGATGCATGGCAGCAAGCAGTAGGCATGGTGGGAGGCTCAGGAAGCTGAGAGCTCACATCTTTTAACTATAAACACAAAGCAGAGAATAAACTTGGAATTTGGGGGGGGTGGTATCCCTCAAAGCCCACTCCTAGTGACATACTACTTCCCTCCAGCAAAATCACACTTTCTAATCCTCCCTCAAATTTAAAATCCCCCTGCCTCAGCCTCCTGGTTATAGGCATGAACCACCAGTCTCAACTCTACACATTCCTGATGCTGACCAATGTCATCTCATAGTTCATAGTTGGGCTTTAATCTTTTCAGTGGACTTGAGCTCTAAAGTAAAAATTTGTAATACAGCCAATTTTATTTTACACTCATCTTTTATTTCTCTCTGTTTCAAACATAAATTCTTAGAGATTCAAATGTATTTAAAAAAATATTTTGCCTCTGTTTTGTACATCAGAAACTCTGAAGTCCAAGATACTTAAGTTGTGTGCACTGAGGAAGATTTAATTTCTTATCCCCCCTTTTTGGGTTGATCTCATTTCATGGACACTTCTACTGTTCACCTAGAGCATCAGTTCTCAATCTCCGGGTTTCGACCCCTTTGGATTCATATAGTAGATATTCTGCATATCAGATATTTACATTACAATTCATAACAGTAGCAAAATTACAGTTATGAAATAGCAAGGAAAATAATTTTATGGTAGGGGGTCAACACAACATGAGGAACTGTATTAAGGAGTTGCACATTAGGAAGGTTGAGAATTATTGGTCTATAGTATGCCTGCTGTGTCAATGTGAACACAATATATGTACACACATATGTACACAAATCTACTATAGAGCTGTGGTCTAGCTGGTTTGTCCATTCCTGCATTGACATATTAATATCCAACCTCAGAAGTCCGAAGGGTCCAAAGACCTCCTTTCTTCTTTTCCATTGGCGCCCTGACATTTTTATCTTTTACTCAGCTACATATACTCACAACCAGTTTGTCAAATGAAGGAGGAATACTACCTACCTATCATTTATCGAGAACTGACAGGTTTTTGTTTTTCTAGTCATGAGCATTTCGTCTGTCTTTTAAGTTTCATCACCTTCTCTATACAAAACTAGCAAACATTTGAGTTAACAATTACATATTGATTCTTAATTTTAGCAAACTACCCGATTAAGGTCTAATCATCTGATGGTGGACTTTTTAATTGGGTTTTCTGTGTGTACCACCACATAATCTGCGAAACTTTTCTTAGTCTATCTCCTTTCTAATAATTAGGTTGTTTTTTTCCTATCTTTCTGTGTGGTGGGAACACTTCTAGTATTATATCAGTTTTTTTTTTAATGAGGAAAATTATTGTCCTTGTCTTGACTTAGAAGAATTTTAACTTAATTTTATGTGTGTGTAAGCACACATGGATGCAGGGCCCACAGAGGCCCAAAGAGGATATGAGGTTCCCTAGAGCTAGAATTACAGGCAGGTGTGAACTGCCCAATGTGGGTGCTAATATTTTTTGGAAAACTTTATATATTAGTACTGTATTTACAACCATTTTCACCTCCATCTCTTGCATGTCCCCCATCCCCTCTGAAATTCATGAACTCTTTTCTTTATTGTTAAATGTACACACATATATAGACATATAAATACAATCTGTTGAGTCCATTTAATGTTGCTCTTATGTTTTGGGGCTAATCTCTTGATATTGGATAACCAGTTAGAGGTCTCATCCCTGGGAAGATCTATTCTCCCACTCTCAGCAGTCATTGTCTGTAGTTCATTTAGGAGTGGGGCCTTGTGAAATTTCCTCCTCCATTGTGGGTGTTTTTCTCTCCAGCCCTTTGTCTTGTGGATTATTTCAAAGCTGTTTCTCATGATCTTCTCCCAATAGTGATTACAGGATTTTTCAGGCATCCTTATATTGAAAATGCTCACCTACTTAAAGATGATCCTGTTAACGGGTATCGATTGCATCAGTTTTTCCCCCATCTATTGATCAATTGGCTTTTTATTTTTATTCTACAGCAAAGGAGATCAATTTTCTAAGATACAACTTTTGCCACATTCCCAAGATAGATTGCATTTGGTCAGTGTATGCTGTTATGACTATAATAAACCCATCCTTTTCATCCCTCACATTGCTTCTACCTAGTGTTAGTATCAAGGTGATACTAGTTTGGCTGTAGCTGGCCTCTTATTTTTTGGGTAAATTTGCATATTAGAATAACTCATTCTCCTTGGTAAAGCTATTTGTGTCTAAAACTTTATGAAGAAAAATTATCTTAAATAAGAATGGTGAGGCTTATTCCTTCTTCACCAACTCCTGGAACTTTTTCCCTTTGAATTTTCGAGTTAACTGGCATGTCTAATGATGCCCACTACATCTGGTAATTACCTTCAGAATCTATAATGGCAACTGTGTCTATTCCTAACATTATGTGGGGGTTTTTCCCCACATGATAAATTTGCTTAAAATCTTGTTCCTTTTTTTCAGTCAATTTTTGTTTTGTTGTTCATTCTTGCTTTGGTGTTAGATTCCCTTCTTTCACTTCTCACTCTAAACAGGTGGTTCTCAACCTTCCTTATGCTACCTTTAATACAGTTCATGTTGCAGTGACTCCCAACCATAAAATTATTTTCATTACGAACTGTAATTTTGCTGCGTTGTGAATCATAATATAAGCATCTGTGGTCTTGGAAGACCCGGGTGAAAGGGTATTTCCGATCCCATGGGGTGGTGACCCACAGTTTGAGAACCACTGCTCTAAAACAATTGCTATGGTTTCCTCTGAAGCCTCTTTGTATCTTGTTTTGTTATCCAATACTTAGAATTTAAGCATTTTCCAATGTTTTCATTAAATCTCAATAAACCCATGCTGGCTTTGAACTTGCTATGTAGCTAGGATGACTCTGAACTCTTTATTCTCCTGCCTCCTAATGGGGGAGGGAAGATTCTAGGCATGGTCATGACATCCAGCTGTACTTCATCCCCTCCCTCCCATCCTCCCATTTTGTCTTTGTAGCATTATGTAGTGGTCACTTCCATCTCTAACTTGCTTTTAAATTTTAAGGTGAGATTATTAAATTCAATTATGAATTCTATCAGAATATTCTCCTAAACATTTTTCCCTTTCTTAGAAAAGTTGTTAAATCAAAGCCTCTTAGCACAGCAGAGCTCACATGTGGCCAAACCTCTATGGAGATGGAGATAGTCCGTTTCTCTGAGAGTCACTCCCTGAGTCAGCAAAATAGTAACTTATATGGTTCTTACCTCCTCCAGGGCTCATTCATTTTTCCCACATCATGTTCAGCCTTCCCCCAAGAACTGGATATTACTGGATGTTAGTTGTATTGAGATTGTTTCACATAGCTGTTTCCCATGTACTTATTACCCTCATTTGTTCTCTTTCACCCACTTTTTAAATTCTGAGTTCAGTACCAAATCTGACCTTCCAGTTTAAGAAAGCCTTGACCATACCTGCTTGTTTTACCCCTTCTATTTTATTTGGTCATTTTCACTTTTCTTACACAGCTGCTACCAAAGATGATCATCCTATGGTTTTTTCCTCGAATACAAACAATTTTTACATGCCTAAGATATCAGCATCTTCTAGATTTCCTGGAGAACATTCCACAAGGAGGAGCTTCCCCTGGGTATTTCACTATATGTCAACAGTTTGCTCATCCCTGAGATGGCAGTTATGGCGAAGTAGAGTGGCTTTCCTGCTAATACATGTGAAGAGGGAACAAGGCCGCTTCCAGCTACAGGGATGCTCTGCGGTTTCATTCCTTGCCTGGGAAGTACAGGTGCCTGTCAAGGCTGGGAGCAGCTCTCCAGTGTCTTAGGACCTTGTCATGTGAAGCAGACACAACAATGTGGTAGGAAGAAAGTCGAATTATATTTTGGAAGGCTAGCTGTCTGGAGGGTTGGATCACTGTACATTCAAAACCAGGTATCGGGTCTCTCAAAGTCCTCTTGGTGCATCCCTTTAAGAGCCTCACAGCACAGCTGTGATGTTAGCATCTGCCTGGGCAGGAGTCAGGAAAGATGATGCCAGAGCCTTGTTGAGGTGTTCATCATTGTAATCATCACCATAGTACTGCCTGCTGCCTGTGGATCATCTCCACAAACAGGCGTGTTGCGCAGAGACTGGCAGCAGGAGCAGAGTTACAAGGGGTAAGGGCTTTTTATCGTAGTGTCTATTTTGGCTACTAATCATATAAACACATGTATTTACATACAAATACATTTGGTACACTTATATTTTATATAAACATTGTAATTTTCATTTCCCCCATTCTGTTTTCAGCCTATGCCCGACACGTTGTGAATACGTATCAAGTGAATCCAACTTGACTCTCTTCACATAAGCTGCTGAGTTTATCTTCTAGCATCCTATATTCCCACGTCATATGCTTCTCTATTTAGTCATTTTTATTATTGTTCCCACTGCTGATACTGTTACCTCTAGTAAGGTAAGAAATCTAACGAAACTCCTGGTCTGTGTCTGTTGCTGCTGTGGATGCTGTAATGGGTTAGTTGAGGATAGTCACTGAGACTTACTGTCCTTATCTTCCTGTAGTTTTTCTCATTACACTATCAATGAACTTTACCCAAGTATTTGGTTTGGGTTTGTTTTGTGATGCCAGAGATCAAAGCCAGAGCTTCATGCATGGTAGGGAGGACTCTGCCAGTGAGCTACACATGAGGCCCCACTTTTCCATTTCAGCATCTCCTGAACTTGTTTTTCTCAAGGACTGTCTCCAAAAAGGGTTTTTTGTGGAAAATCTTCTGAATCCTTGAATGAGCACATTAAATTTGATTCTGTGGGTGGGTTCTGTGACTGGTTCAGATTTCTAACAGGTAATCTGGCCATGAGAACAAACATGCTCAAACACTGGCATGAACAGGAAGGAAACCCCACAATGTTCACAGAAGGAAGTACATATGAGGTGACCCATCACAATGTCATGATAGGCAAAGAACTGAAAACAACCCAATCTCTAGAAACAATTAAACTGTTTAATTACAATTAACATTCAGTGATTAGGGTGTGGAGATCTACACCAGAGAGACAGCTCACCGGGTAAAGGTGTTGCCACCAAGCTTGATGTCCTGAGTTTGTTTGATCACTGGAACCCACACAGGGGAAGCAGAGAACAGACTCCCAAAAGCTGCCATCTGACCTCCACATGCACTGACAGGCCCCCACATAAATACATAAACTGTAAAAAACTTTTTAAGATGTGAAGGTTTACTCACAGGGAGAATGCACTTATTTTTAAAGCAAGAAGGATGGCTCAAGGGTCTTGCAGAGAACTGAGTTCAGTTCCAAGTGTCTACCTGGCAGCTCACAACTGTCTGCAACTTTGGTTCCAGGTCTGACTCCCTCTTCTGGCCTCTGTGTGCACCAGGCACAAGTGTGATGCACATACACACATGCAGGCAAACAGTCCCACACATACACTCAATATAGCAAGGAAGTAGGAAATACCTGAATGTCCAAGGCTATTCTCCAAAGCTATGACCAGTCTGTTCTCACTGAAGACAATAAATTCCTTTGCATTCCTATACTTTGTCTCCACCACAAACCTTTTACTTGTAGAAATTGTTAGTAGTTTCCTCGTGTCAGCTTTACTTAAAACTTAAGAGATCAAGTGGTTGCACGATACCTCAGAACTAGTAGGTACCATTCTTTTAGACCATGATGTTGTTTATTTATTTAATCCTCCTTCAATTCCATGATAGTGCTCAATGCCTAACATAAACCCTACATCAGGACGATCAAGAATGCTCTAGAGTAAGATCTCATGGCTCTTCTTTTTCTACATGACTATCACTACAATAAAGGGATTCACTAGGTTACTGCAAGAAGAGTAACAGTAACTTCCAAAGCCCAGTAAAAACCTTTCTGCAGAGGAGGAGGAGGAACAGACTGGGGACGGGAGGTAGGGGAAGGAACTGGGAGGACAGGAGGGAGGGCAAACTGTGATCAGGCTGGAAAAAAATTTAATAAAAGAAAAACCTCACAGGTGGAAAACAAAACAAAACAATCTTTCTGTAAATAGAACCTTGTGTTTGAATGTCAACATATACCCGGGTGTCCACTGAGTCCTGTTCACACAGCTCCTTCCTTGTTTCCCATAGGGGTACAGTGTGAAAACTACTACTGCCTTCTGCAATGCTATATGCCATGTCAGAGCTAAGGAAGAGACACACACTCAGTCTGATGTTTATTTGGTGGTTTTGCTCTGCAGGGCTGAATCCCCATCACTGGCACACCTGCAGCTCTTCGGAGTGTGCTCCATTCAGGGACAGGCAAACACATCTCAGTTGCTTTAAAGGAAATCGCAGCACTTCTTAGTGTAATGTGTAAGAGGACAGAAGTCTTGGGCCCTCTCCTCGGAAATAAATATTAACCATAAAAATGTTCAGCCACTCTTCAGTTGTTCAGGGAGGAGCACACATGGCCCCACGCAGGGTGTCAGAGTTCCTCTTTGAAATATCCAAGTTTTGCCAATGACATCTCCTTTCTCAACTGCATAATTTCCCAAAACATCTGATCAACTGCACAGACAGAGAAGAGATATGTAAATCATAATGTGTAATTACTGCTTCAAGGAAAATGTAAGATTAGCTGAAATGCAAAGCCGGGTGTTCCCTAATACGAGGCACCCCAGCTCTAACAGTCGTCAAGCAACAGTATTAGTTTTGTCGTGATAAACATAGATAAAGAAGATATTTCAGTGTCTAGAGTAAACGCTAACTCCATCCCCTCCTTGAGTACATTAAGGCTCAATTATCCAAACGTTGAGTTTTCTGCACTGGTGTGCTCTTCCTTGGACATTTCCCAGAACACAGAAAATTCAGTAATGTTCCTTGGAGTAATAAGGGAATTTTTTTGCATGGCTCAAATTAGAAATAAAAACAAATGTTGAAGTTCAACTGCACATTCCATTATCCACACTTCTTTTTTTAATTTCCAGTCAAAGTGGGAGAGAAGATCTCTGTGCTTCAAGCAATAAAAGATCTGTGGCCAGCTCACACCATGGTCAGCTCACACTGTGGTCACACACTGTGGTCAGCTCACACTGTGGTCAGCTCACACTAACTCATCAGTGGGTTCATCAGATGCATTTGGCCCCCAAAGCACATTTGACTATGTCTGAATACCTTTTTCACTGTTTTAAGTTGAGGTTCTACTGGCATCTAACGAGTACAGGCCAGAGATGCAGTAAAATATTCTATAACACACCCAACACACACACACCACACCCCACACACACACACACACACACACACACACACACACACACACACACACACACACACAAATAATTATCAAAACTCAAAATGTCAATACAAGACAGTATCCTTTACCTGAAATGCTTGTAAGAAGAAAATGTCCATAGTTTAATAACAAAAAAAAAATTTACACAGACACAATGAGATAACGTTGGGGCCCACCTTCAAACCCAAAGTTCAAAGGCTTCGTGTGGAGCCTGCTATGGTGGCACAAGTCTTTAATCCAAACACTCCAGAGGCACAGACAAGAGGATAGTGAGTTCAAGGCAAGCCTGATCTAAGGGAATCCCAGGACAGACAGAGCTACATAGTTAGACACTACCTTAAAAAAAAAAAAAAAAAAAAAAAGGGGGGGGGGGTTCCCTGTGGATCTTACACACAGAGCCTAAAAGTGGTTCTGCGTTCTGACTATGGGGTCAGGCATGGCTCTACTTGTGGCATTTCATTCATGTTCGATGTAATGCTTATCTTTGAAGTATTTGTGTTTGGGGGTTAAGGTGCCCAAGCTGTAGTACAAAGGCTAAAAAACTATGCCTTGGATTTAACTGAACCTAATCCTTTTCTTTTTAACACAAGGCTCAGATAATGTATAGGCTTTAAAATTAATATTTTAGCTTTATACAAGGGCCCTACAGGATATATTCTGTGTATTATATACACGAAGTGTGAAAAATAACAGAAACCAGTGGGAATATCACATCTGTCACTCTCATTCAAGATACTTTCTTCCTGTTTTCATGAAGTGAATTCTTGTCATATTTCCCCCAAATCTATGGTACCAAGGAGAAAATTTGCATCATATTATTCATCAACAGGTATCCAAAAGATGTTTTTACTGAAATTATAAAAATCATTACACACTTACAGACTACTTTTATTTCATAGCCTCTAGCTCCATGCCTCCTAAATTTATTCATTAAAATTAATTATATGCAATTCTAAATAAACATGCCACAGTTCCATACACCAAAGCCATGAGGGCCGACCTGAGTCTTTGCCAGTCTAATTTTCACTAGTGTATGTACTGAAAAGAATTAGTGTCTACTAGTCTTGAAGTACAGAAACATTTTCAACATCTATAAAAACTTACATGGAAAATTTCCCACAATATCAAATAGAAAAAGATGGGCTTCTTCCTGACCTAGCATCTGCTCCTTCAGTTCTGAAACAGTCATGGGCAATCAGTAAGGACGCTTGGAAGCTGACATGGGGTACCATCCTTTATGCTAGCCAGTTAAGACACTGGATTATAGTCCATTAGCAACCCCAGAAGGCTACACTGAAATGTTAACACAACCACAACAGTTAGCACATCTGTTTCTGCTGCTTCAGAATGCGATCATATTTCCTGTTCAAAATCATCACATCATTGCCTTGTAAAAGTAGAAAACATAGGAAACTTACGGTTGGTCCCTTACACTTTCCATTAATAAAAATAAATCTGACCACTTATAGAGCTTGCTCATTTTCACACACCCTACAAGTACTCGAAACCAAACCTAGGACTTCACTCGTGCTAATGAAGTACTTAACCTTGGAGCTATACCTATCCCATCATTTTTTTCTTAAACTTCTTTGTTTTGTGAGGCAGGATACCATTAACTTGCTTAAGCTGGCCTTGAACTCATCCCATAGTTCTTGCTGGCCTTTAATCTGTTATCCTCCTGTCTCAGCTGACTCAGTAGCTGTCATTTGATCTTTCAAGGGGTAAGTGCAGCAGCGGTTTGATTTATCATATATTCCTAGCAAGGTAAAACTGGTTCTGCTCAAAACTCAAGAGTAAAATGAGGGAAATAAAAACATCATTTTTGGAAGACATTTATTTTCTAAAGTGCCCATACATTTTGTTAGAACTATAAGGGAATTCAATGGAACAGTAGGAACAATAGTTCATTTCCGTACATTACTATCCTGATCGGCTAAACTTCCACATAAATGTTTACAATGAGTTGAGAGCACTCACCATCCTGTTGTTTCACAAGTCCCTGCTGAATATATCGGATGTATGTAAAAAAGTTACATACAGAAGTGATCTAGGCCAAAAGGGAGAGATGTCATAACTAGTCAGTTTTACAGCAAAGAGAACATTATTAAACATCATGGTCATGTCACTTACCCTGTATCTGCAAAAGGGAGAAATATAGTAATAGTTGCTTGAGTCCCCTAGTTTAATTCTGTGCTTACAGGACTTACTCTGGCCAGTGAGAGCACATTTTCTGCAAAATAACAAATTTCGGTTTTGTTTTATAATTAAAAGCATTTGCCCCATTTTTATTTTTCTTTTACAAGCTGTCTCTTCATTATGATAAAAAATATCTGAGACTCTAATGTGTGTCAGGCCTGTTCTGGATGCTGGACCCCGTGATGAAAAGGATAGTCGCTGCCCTGTAGGACTTAAGTCCCAGTATAGCCCTACGACCATAACACTGAGCATGCTTCTAGAAACAGACGTGGGATGTTTCCATACATGGCCCAGCTGAGAGAAAACCTACAAGCAGGCCAGCAGCTGCAGATCATCACTCCACATGCAAACACAACCTCAGCTTCCTAGCTGAAGAGAACCTAATCAAGATTATTCAGGCCTTAAAAACCATTGCTAGGCAGATCTCTGTGAGTTCAAGACCAGCCTGGTCTACAAGAGCTAGTTCCAGGACAGCCTCCAAAGCCAGAGAGAAACCCTGTCTTGAAAAACCAAAAAAAACAAAAAACAAAAACACACCATTGCTAATGGAGTGCAGGATAAGAGCTGCCAAGTGGAATATGTCTGATTGGTAGGTCTTGCTGCATTTAATGTATAAAGAAACAAGCTGCCCTTAAGCTCAAAACCTTAACACCTGTGAGGGTCCATCTCATACCACCCTTTCTACTGTGGCCATTCTGGCTGGACTAGGCTATCCAGTATACTGTACCTTGCTCATCTTTAGAGCCTGGCACCAAGTAGGCATTCACTGACTGATGAGCCACCTGTCACCATGCCCCTCCGTGAAGGAGGCAATTTATTAGGCTCCATAACTTTGGCCCAGTTGTCAACCTAGTCAGCTGGGAACTTGGGGAGATACAACTATCAGTCTTTGTTAATGAAAAATTAGCAAAGCTTTCAGTAAAACAAGGTGGCCAATAGCAGCTGACATGATATTACAAATTATACCACAAAGAAACAATATATATGAACTATATTAGATTTCAGGTATACCTAAAATAAACACTACCCAGTGCTCCTCCACAAAGAAACAAAGTGTTTGGAACAAAATAATTTGGAACAAAATAATTTTAGAGGAGGCCCTGCAGATCCCTTTGAAAAAAATATTATCTTTTAATTCTTTTCAAAGAGATTATTTTACTTACTGTGGTGTCTCTCTCTCTCTCTCTCTCTCTCTCTCTCTCTCTCTCTCTCTCTCTCTCTCTCTCTCTCTCACACACACACACACACACACACACACACACACACACACCACCTGCAAATTGTTCTAATGCTCTGTGGCAATATTTCAGAGTACTAGCTGTTATAATTTTAAAAAGCAGCTTGAGAGAGAAACACACCATGCAACAGATCAGGCAGAGGGGTTTTTTATTAAGGGAAAGGATGGTAAAAGGGACAGGAGCAGCAGGAGAAGAAAAGGGGTGGGGAGAGACAAACGGGGAGAGAGAGAGAGGAGGAAGAAGAGGAGAGAGAGAGAGAGAGAGAGAGAGAGAGATGGGAGGTAGGCAGGGCCCTTTTAAAAGGGAACATAGTGAACAGACACAGGTGGTGCTCTTAGTGACAGCAGCTGAGAACGCATCCTATCAGAACCCCAAAGGCAGGCCAGTACAGATGACTAAATACTAACACTAACTACTAGCTTGGGAAAGATCAGAGGTCAGTAAATTTAAGTTGGAAGTCCTTACAACTTTCGAAAAGTATAATTTATTCAGAAAGAAAAGTACCCTTGAATCAAGGAAGGAAGGAACCCAACCTATTCTTCTGAAAATATATTTGTTCTTTTAGCATTTTGTCACATTTTGAAAGAATTTTGCTAAAGTGGTCTCAGGTATGAATTTGTAGAATAATAAAATAAAAGATCCCCCTTAAAGAGAGGACCGAGCTCTGGCTTGCAAGTGCCCCTCTGCTCTGTGGAGGGCCTTTCTGTGTGTGTGCTGTGTGTATGTGTGTCTCCCTCCTCATAAAAGCTCTTCTTCAACTGCCTTTAAAAGCAGCATTTCTTAAATAGCCATCTCTGAATGCTAACAGCTCCAGTCAATCCATACACTTTGGATTCTGGACTCAATGCTGGTCTGGCCTTCTCTCTGAAGCTACTGTAGAACACGCTGCTGCTGCAGTACCTCTTCAAGGCTCTAGTCTTGAGATCTCAGATTCCTGCTTGCCTTGTCACATGGGATGACTATACATAAATGCAGGCCTGTAGCTTCTTTCAAGCCAGAACCTTCTCTACTAATTTCCAAAATACTTCCAACCCTCTTCAAGCAGGCAGTCACCTCTAATTTCCTTCTTGCATCCCCACCCCATCTAATTTCTGTCTTTCATCTGTGGCATCTTTTTTCTACTCCCTATTGTACCTGTCATCCGGACATAGTGTCTTCCTGCTGAATTTATCCACTTCCACCCATACCCCGAATGCTAGACCAAATTTTTTCACCTCCTAGCTGGGAGTAGTATGGCACATCTTTAATCCCAGTCTCCAGAGGCAGAGGCAGACAGATCTGTGAGTTTGAGGTTAAGCTAGTCCACAGAGTGAGTTCCAGGACAGCCAGGGCTACACAGTGAGACCCTGTTTCAAAAAACAAAACAA